GTTTGTTAGACATTTCATGTGTTTGATCGTGTCATCTGAATAATTCGATTATAGCTCCATTTTCTATTCTTAACAAATGTGAAAACCGATAAGAGACAAGCGACGAAATTTGTTTTAAAGTCTAGGCACACTCTATTAACTGTGCACACATAACCTAATTTGCCAAGTGCATATATAAAGCGCTTCCAATAAAAATGTTATAGTTCCTACTAATTGCTTTGCTGTAAATCAGATATTTGATAGGATATGTAGACTTTCGTATGTGTGAGTATATGGATGCTTACGATCTTTTATTTACTGTCTTATGAATTGTTTACTCAGTAAATGATTCGTGGCTCATCTAAGTATCAATATCATCAGTGATGACCTTGCTCAGTGTTCTATGTTTAATACAGTATGGAATTCTGAGTACAAAGTAGCTCAACAAGTTTACAATAAGCCGTTTGTACTTTCCTCTCTTGTCTGGTTTGACTGTCAAGCGCATGGTCCACGGAATAATAAAATCTCCGATACATTTTATCAGACCTTTAAATGCCATGTAGTGACTGAGCTTCATTATTCAGTCACCTTGATAACCGTTATCATATAAATCCGCACGGTGCTTGAATTCATAAGGCATTGAGAAGCGGCGACTACAACTTAATAATGATAGAACAGATAACAAAGTTATTAGCGCATCGAGCGAATCGGAGCAGAATGGCTAATTTGTGTGTGCGACCAAATACAGAGGCGAACTTATGGTTAAATCGAGTCAAGGCGCAGCGAAGCCAAGCAAAGGCGATTGATAGCATTCGAGCGTACATATACATAGGGCGGCATTGGACCCTAGTCACACGACCTTTGAACCTAATTACTTACGCCTGTTACCCCTGGCCGAGGAGCATAGGCCATCCACCAGCATTTTCCATCCAACCCTATCCCCAGCAATGTTTCCCGGTTCTTTCCAGTTCATATCCATCCTGTTCTTGTCTGTTTCCGATTAGCGACGTAATGTATTACTCGGCCTTCATCTTTTTTCGATTCCCTTCAGGATTACAAGTTAGGGCTTTTCTTGTGACGCAGTTTGTTGATTTCCATAATGTATGTTATATCTACTTCAAACGTCGTTTCCTAATTTCCTACTCAGATAGAAGCTGGTTTGTCCGATCCCACAGTAATCTGTTGCTGATTGTATCCGGCCAACGGATATTGGTTATCTTGCGTAGATAATTGTTTACAAACACTTGTACCTCTTTGATGATGGCTGTAGTAGTTCTTCAAGTTTCAGCTCCGTACACTAGAACTGTCTCGACGTTCAGATTGAAGATTCTGACTTTGATATTGGCCAACAGTTGGTTTCAGTTCCATATGTTCTTCAAGTGTAGGAATGCTGTCTTTGCTTTACTGATCCTCGCCTTTACATCCTCATCCGATCCTCCTTGTTCATAGATGACGCTTCCCAGGTACATGAAAGATTGCACATTCTCCAGATGAACCTGTGTTTTCTCATCAAGTGTGATTGGGTTGGTGTTGCTAGTGTTTAATTTGAGGATATTGCTTCTTCCTTTGTGTATGTTGAGCCCCATCGATTCAGAGGCTGCTGCTACACCTGTTTTTTCATCTGTTCCTGGGTATGGGATAGAAGGGCTAAATGTGTTTTTCATAAACTCCAGACATCACATTGTTGATTGTTACGATAAGATGAGCTAGTGTAGACAATGATGTAATTTCCACGTGAGATCTTATAGATTAGGCAGTCAAATCATTACATATCTACAATTTTAGGATTAGGTCTATTATTATAACAGTGCCGATAACCAAGTAATTATATATATATATATATATATATATATATATATATAAAGAGAATGATTCATCGAGCGATAATTAGGCAACTAACATTTATTTACGTATGATGCCATTTGTGCTCAAGCGAAAACGTTCTTACAGACACGATGGTAATCATAATAATACAATGAAATAGACAAATTGTTACTGTCCAAATGACATTATCTGTTAAATATGTTAAAAGAACTTGAAAAAGTTGATTGCAGGTGTCACTATATCTGTAGTGGCATTGGACAATAGTCACACAATCCACAAAGCTGTGAACACGAGACTACTCAGAAAATAGATATTCAATATTTAACGCGGAGAAATATCTAACAATGGAGAAGGCGCGAACAATGAGTTGAATGGACTGGAGTTGGTCGAGTGGCATGGCTCGGTCATGCAGGCGTGGTCTCTGCTGAATGTTACCTTATATCTTCTATTCATATTAAATATATTGTTCTTTCTCTAGCCTAACCTTGTTCTACATCATGTATTGGTAATTGATACGATACAGTGAGTTGGTGTAGACAATGATGTGACTTTCACGTAAGATCTTATAGATTAGGCAGTTATATCATGACAAATCTACAAATTTAGGATTAGGTCTATTATTAGAGCAGTACTAATATCATAGTAGACCATAGTTCTACATATCCACGTCTTCATAGGTAAATCCTTTGAGCAAGCAGTATTCTTTCAAATTGATGGCAAGCTGATTACTTTTAGAGATATAGTCAGACTGCAGATACCAGGTCAATATCATAAACATATTCCAAAAAGTCGACTATTGGACACTCTAGTCATATCCAGTCTATTAAAATTGTTCTCCTAGTTCTATTTAATACATGAATGTATTATTATTTGTGGAAAGATTATATGAATTCCCTTCTTTGTGATTTTACAGAAAAATAAACAATCAGGAATTGATCATAGCTGTTGTCAAATTTCATCACAGTTCGTTTTATCACTAGCAGACACATAGTCTAAACAATAAAATTAGGTAGAATACTGATACAAATTTATCAAAGTACGGTAAGATAACTTTGAAGTTCACCAGCCCTTATAAAATCAGCAAGGCTTAGCGTTTGTTTTGTACAGTTTAGTGGTGAATAATTGGTACTAAAACAGTACAATTATATATGTTTTGTGTGTCTTAACGCGGTTTAGGAATAAAATACAACCCCAAAATGACTTTATTAAATTTGACTCATTTGTTTACCTAACATTTAGTTCTAGCAGTTGCGCTGATGTCCTTTGAAAAGAAAATCGGTTTGTAAGTTCATGACAGTGAATTTGATTTCGCCTACTAACAACTGCACGTTTAAGAGTAGTAAAGCTGTCTCAATATTATACGTCGGCGTAACCAGAACAGGGCTTTCACAGAAGTACATTAGGCTTCATTTCATAAGAAAATATCTGGGTATACCAACGTCTCAACTATTAATAAAGTTCTATAACATATACGTCATGAAACTTACAAGACTGTTATTTACCATCTGTTTAAAAAGAACTGGAACCATCAAACCACGGTTATCAAGTCTGAGAAAAAAATATTTACATTTTGAAGGACAACTTATTAAATGATTGACTTTACAAACTTGATTGTACTTTTTAAACACAGTATCACAAGCCCATTTAACAGGGACTCTCATTCAAAACAGATAAGTCTCCAAGTAACTGCTAAACTGATTACTACGGCCGAAAATGAGCATTTGGACTTGGCGTGCCGTATGTTTATAAAAAGGCATAGACCCATTTACCAATGCAATGTTGAGAACTTAAATAATTCCGTTTGTTACAAATTTATAGTAGCCCAAAGCGCTTGAATTTATTAACAAGGTTTATGACAGAGCTTCATATAAGGGAGTTGTGTAAACTCATTAAGCGGATGTTTAGCTTATTTCTTGGGATGTATTTCGAAATTTACACTTAAAAGCTACTGCACCCCGCATCCCTTGGACTACACCGAAGTGTCCAAGAAACTCTCCAGCACTATGGGGAGAAACTAATGCTTCACTATTGATAGAGGACGACTATGGTAAAGTTTAGGTAATGTTAAACTACTTTAGCAATGTATATACCGTGGAAACACCCTTCCCGTCAGTCCCCCCACCCACAAACTGGACAACGTGATCATTAAACAACTCGATTCCTTTGATCCATAGATTGGGCGAATCCACAAGACCCGACGAGCTGCATCTCAAGTTACCAGAAGAACTAGCTAACTTCGTTGCTGTTTAAGTATCTCGACGACAACCAGATTCTTTCGAAAACGCAGCATAGCTTTAGAATAGGTTATTCCCGTCTCACTAAATTATTAGTGGTTCGTGAAAGCTGGTGCGCTCTTAAAGAACAAAAGCTACCCATAGACGTAGCCCACATTGAGTTTGGCAAAGCCTTAGACAAAGTTCCTCACAACCGGCTGTTATATAGGTTAAGAAATGTCGAGGTTGGGCGCCAACGAAGAGTACGGGTGAACACCGAGTTGTTTATATGGAAAACTGTGCCTAGCGGAGGGTCTCATGATACAGTTTTGGGGTCCATGTTATTCGTCTGGCATGCAAAGGACATTTCTCGTCTCCCATCATCATCGGTCTTGCCATATGCTGACAATGCCAAGATATAGAGAGCGACGAGATGTAAAGCTTCGAAATCCAAAATGACCAGGAGAAACTATCTGAATGGTCACAAACCTGGCAAGTGCCGATAAATACTTCTAAGTGCATTGTGATGCACATTGGTCATCAAGGCAAAGATACACACATCATGAATAACACTGAGCTACCTGTTGTTCAGATAGACAAGAACTTATGAGTCATCGTTAGTCAAGACTAAAAATTATTACACACTACTGTGCAACAGCCGCCAAAGGTTTTAGAATTCTATGGTCAATACGTAGAGCCTTTAGTCATGTCGACACTAAAACTTTTTTGACTTTGGATACAGTATTCGTGAATCCTAAACTTTAGTTCCGCATACTAGCGGTTAGCCCCAGTTTAAAAAAAGACATTGAGCTTTCGGAAAATGCCAAGCGAACAGCAACTAATCTAGATCAACTGAGAGACCGTAATTGCCAGGACTAACATAGGCCATCAAACCTCATATCCTTTTAAACTAAAACTGAAACTTCTATGAACACTTGAAACTATTGGACCACCCAACCTTGTGGTAAGGGGCTATATACGAAGATGACGGTACCAGCAGAAAATGTGAGGGATGTACTGTCTGTTAGAGGTAAGTTCTAGAGGTTATTCTACCTGCCATTAACAATCAGATAAAGACAGTTGGTATTTCAAGTTATATTTTGATGTTGTACTGTTGAAACATTTGCTTATTGCTTGATGCTATGTCTCTTATTTAAAAGTGACCTTTCAGTTCAGTTATAATTTGTTTTGACCTTAAGACTGTCTGTCGGTATGAAATCCACTTTTCACTAATAAGAATTTGTTTTTCACACCAAACTCCAAATACAATGGGATATTTTGAGTGGTGAAATTTTCATCTTCTGAAGTTTTTTTCGGAGAATATGATTTACTGACGAAGCAATGAGATTTAAGGTAGCAGATCTTGGATGTCGGCGCACAGTTCATTCACTCATTTGATTAAATACCGTCTTTTAACATGTCGGTTCGTGATGAAAACATTAAATTTAGTCCTTATCCTTATTCCTTACACGAATATATAACCCTCATATAACCGTAGTAGGTAAGAGAGAATTTCAATACCATTTTGCCGTTGCTCAAAGGTCATCCATAAATTATAGTCATAAACTCTCCCAATACTGCATGACAATATGTTGATAAATATGTACAGTATGCTTCTTAAGGATCTGTTTAGGCAACCAACAAGTTAAGGATTATATAGGTGTCATCAAGAAGTCAGTTTCCCAATCACTGCCAATCATTTATAATATAGGATCTGACATGAAGTGTATTTCTCAGAGATGCCATGCCACATCAGAATAGTAAAATTGAATCAATAACGTGAGTAGCAAAACTTTGAGCAGTAACAATGAGTGAGAAAGTTTACATATTGAAGAACACGATTCAAAAAGAAGAAATGAGTTAAAAGAAGGAATAAATACATTTCCACCATGGCTAGTTCTGGGTCTTAGTAGTCAATGCTACCATCCATTGAACGCGGTTATCTTACGGATTTTAACCATCTAGTCTGTAACTACCAACTCAACTCAAGTTAATGATCTTATAGACTAGTTCCATGTTTTCAATTGAGTGTACTGTCTTTTTCAATTGATGCTATATCTTTGGTTTACTTTGTTGGCTATTACGACAAACCAACGTAGCAGGAGTGTATATAACATATCCATACTCTGATTAAAGCATAAATAGGTCATTTACTAATTGGATAACTAAATACGTAGTTTTCAGCTTTATTTTCTTTTGTGATACTATCCGACTGCCTAAACCATAATATTTGGAATGAAGTCCTATCCTGGCGCTCGACTGTTAGAATATAAGAGCTTTAACCATCAATTCAATGCTACATTTTATTTGAAAGACAGATGGACGTCTTGGCTCATAGGTGGCTTGGGTTCGCGAAATCAAAAGAGGGTTTTTGTATCCGTACTGAAATTTCGTAAGCCACCTGCTCGCCAGTTCTGATAAGACTTCTGAGTTAGTTGAAGTGGTGAATAAATTCAGCTTTTGTACTGTTTTAAAAATGTGACCATAGCTATTACGTTTACAGTAGTTGCAATTGCTCGTTTTGCATTTTGATTCAGCTAGATTGAGTGAAACACCCTTTTTTGTGATTTTCCATGCCATACAGATTGGTTGGAAATCTTCTAAACCGAAAGCATTAAGTTTAAAGCCAGAGAGTGGAGTTGTACTGCCAAATGCCAGATTTCGGTGGCATTCAAGTGTTTTCTACATGCAACTAAAATCTCTTTCCATCTCGAAAAGCCTGAATAAATAGTTCATCCTTCCTTACTTGTTTTCACCTAAGCGTTAAGGTAAACAATCCTGGTTCACGTTTGATTTTCTGGCTACTCAGTAGCTACTCATCGTGATCTTTTATATGTAAATATAGAATAAAGTTTAAAGATAGTCGACTAAATGGAACTTTAAGAACTTGGAAGAGTAGGGTTATAAACGATTGTGTGTCCATAATTTCTGCCTACACCTGTGGCATCTCGTACCCGGATAGCATTTACAACTCACTAATTTTTGTCGTGAAAACGTTTGTATTTTCGTTTAGTATGCGTTTGTGTTAGATCGCGCAATCCAATGTCGAGTTCAAATTCATAACGGTGCTTACTCACTAGTTTCACCACTGAGAGACATTGGTAATTAAGTGCATGTAGTCCTCATGTGGCTTACACCTTTCGTGATTGTAATTCGTAGTTGTACAACTAAACACTGCGATGCTCGTGGACCCTAATTTAGTTGTTTTTAGGCACCTTGCGTGCTTCTCGATTAACATATTTCCTCAGAAAGCAAGCTGTATTTTAGTATATGCGTTGATTTTTGTCGTTTGTTAACCTTTCATAGTTGCTAAAACTTTTAAGATAAGTGGTTGTCGGGAATGTCTAGTTTGAATGTATGTGAAGTAAAGGAAAATTTAATCTTTGTTGATAAAAATCCCATAATAAGGATTCTCACTGGTGGCACTAACGTCAGTGAATATGTCATCAGCACTCATTTTCAATTCACGTATATTATTTTCGGTCTTGATATGATGGATTTTCACGTTTTAAATGTTCACTACGCCAGTATGCAATGCTGCATCGTGAGTCTGGTTAGACTTCGGTTAATGCGCTTCATAGAAATGGGCTGATTATCCTCCTATCTGTTCATTATCATAGTCTCTTATACATTTCCAGAATACCGTATAAAAATTATCAGATTCAAATAACCGAATATGCGTTTCAAATTACTATCATATACTGGAAATTCTGAATCTCCTCAGTGTTAAATTCGTGCTCACGCACACCCAACCTAAGAAATATCAATGTCTTGCTAATTTAGGTTATCTAAATCACTTACTAAACAGCAAAAATATCTTGTAATATGTAATAGTCAGATAAACTTAAAACAGAATAAGTGTTTATATATATATATATATATATATATATATATATATATATATATATATATATATATCTTTTTTGACTAAAAAATGTTTCATCAAAAAGAAAATACATGAGAAACTACATCATAATCATTCTACTTTTTTGTTTCATTAACTAAGTAATAGTGCTATGTTCATTGTTGTTGTTCCCATTGTTGTCTTTCTGTTTGCTTCAACTAATTGTAATTTATGATATGCGCTGCAGGTTTGTATACAGTGATGATACACTGGTATCAGCAGGATGATGATAATGTCTTGGAAGATTTTTAGTTGACTGTATACTAACATGTTTCGACTCCTTTTCAATGTCAATTGGTGGTAGATACTTGTCACTAGATGATGGTTTTTCTGTTGAACTTATATTACTACTATGATGGACGAGCATTCGAGAATTATTAGTACCCTTTTTGGTTATTTATATTAGAGTCTGTTAGTGTTCTGTAGAATGACTCCTTTCCTCCTGTTGTTGTTTTCTGAAACCTGTAGAATCTGTAAGCCGATTGATTCTTTTATCACGTAGCTGTTGTGCTATGAATTCCGATGATCTCTTTTTGTTATCATCCAGCAGTGAGTTACTATTGTTGTTAGCAAATGAATCTAAATTTAATTCACCGTCTTCTGATTTAAGTTGTCCACTGTACAAATGCTTAAATTTGTGCTGTCTTGCATTCTCTTCATCATTTTCACAATCTAATTCAATTGTATTCAATGTAAGGATGTTGAAATGATGATTCTTTGAATTAGCTAATGTTGTAACAGTACTTGGATGCATTTTCACCATAGTTTCATTGGTTACCATTGCTTTTGGTACTGTTGACTGTTCCACACAAGAATTATCATTACTAATTGTCTTTTCTGACTGGATAATTGGATTTCCGTCGTTTTTAGATAAATTTCTAGTTGCAATAGCTGGTGTCACTGCAATCGCTGCTGCAGCTACAGCAGCAACAGATGCAGCACCGAATTCATGTTGTTTTCCGCCTATCAGAGTAGCCATACAGTTTCTCTCTTCTTCACGTTGCTTTCGTCGATTTTGTACGTAACTTTTTAACCATTTCTACGTTTAAAAAATAGGATAAGAGAAAAAGCAAATGGTTTGTTGAGAATCTTGGGTTCAGAAAATAAGTCTTAATGATACATGTTATCTCAAATAATGTGGATGCCTTTATCCTCTTTGAAATTCTAGAATAGTAGCATTTTATTCTTTAGAGTTTTTCAGTCCAGTATCTCTAACTGTATGAAAGTTTATGGGAAGTGTCATATAAAACTGTAACAATGAATAGTTTGCATAATATATCATAGACGCTTTTCTGGTTGACTCAGAATCATGTATAATTTGAAATCTGGTTCAATGGCAGGTGTTTTGTAACTCTATTTCCTACCTAAAATAAAAGCGACAAACGCATCATATATCTGATAATCATTAACTCTGCCATGTTTTTCACCTTTATTCCTGCATAACTTCACATTGCTATCATATACGCCACATTTATTAATATACATTGAGTACACCAGGTTTTGGTTTTAAACAGTCTGAATAAATAAGCAGATTATCAACGGTGAGATAAAATAATCTCATTGGACATTCAACTTTCAAAAATCTGTGTCCAGCTCTAACTCAAAACATTCAGTTCGCAATTTAATGCCTTATCTGATAACTGTATCACTCTTGATATGGACAAAATCCTCTAATCATAATTTATCATTGGAGTTTTGGTAACCCATATCAGGGTTAGTCGTTAGTGATTAAACTATCACGACTTTTTTCACAACAAAACGAAGCTGATGTTAAGTACCCCCATTCAGTTTCCATAGTTGCTCCAATGGTGTCGATCTATGATAAACTAGCTTCAAAATAAACAACCTTTACAACTACCTCCCCTCTAGTAAAATAACCATAATAACCACTCTAATTCATCTAATGATAAAACTCTAAATAAAACTTACTTCTACTATTGTAACTACTGCATGATAAGCTAATGGAATAGGTGTAAATAAAACTGTCCACAAAGCTGCTACAGCCGCTAAATCACCTTCTGGTGCATGTACACATGTTCTTAGCAAAGGTATACACAAAAGACCATTAAACACCGAAGCTGCCGTAGATAATGTTCGAGATCTTGCACAACCTTGATTAGTTATTA